CCCCGAAAAAAAGGACACAAATCCAAACCCCAAAAAAAAAAAAAAAAAAAAAAAAAAAAAAAAAGCTTATTCAAGCTAATATGAAGGTATATTCCAACTGAGTATCTTTTACAAGCACAAATGGTTAGCATTTCGAACATATTGTTTTTTCCCTAACCATCCATCTTTTTCTTTTTTCCTTCTGGTTCTGGATCAAACTCAGGACCTTGAGCTTGCAAGGCAGGCATGGTGCCACCGAACTAAATCCCTGGCTCCCCTAATCATCTATCTTGGAGATCTGTCCATATCTGGCATAAAGTGTGCCCTCAGTCTCTGCGTCAGCATCATGTTCCCATGACATGGATATAGTATAACTTTCAACCTGTCCCTAATGCCCTTTCAGGCCATTTTAAGTAATGAGCAGCTGTTCTTTAATACCCAACCAATTACCATAAATTACCCAATTTTACGTTAGGGCAGAAAATAAAGTCACACAGGAAATTATAAGACTTGTTTAAGGATACACTGTCTGAACCCAAATCTAAACTAGCCATCAGCCAGACATGGTGGTGCACACCTTTAATCTCAGCACTCAGAGGCAGAGGCAGGAGAACCACTGAGTTCAAGGCCAGCCCGGGCTACACAGTGAGGTCAAGGCCAGCCTGAACTATATAGGGAAACCATGTCTCAAAAACAAAACAAAATAAAACCAAAACAAGTCATCAGAGTCAAAGTGATACACAGCCCCCACAGTGCTGCGAGAGAGAAGGGATACAGAACTGGAGGCGGTGTGGAATGCTCAAGTTCACAGTCAGTGCAGAGGACACAGAGGCCTTTTTCAGTAGTCGCAAACCTAATCATCAAGGTGTGTGTACATTCTGCTGAGTCTGCTCAGCAATCTCCCTTCTCTTGGGGAACAGTTCCTTTTCCTCTTTAATTCTACCCTTCTGCTGGGATTATCATGTAGCCTGACTGGCCCAGCCTATGACTGGCTCGGGGTGGCACATGACCCAAGCTTGGCCAATGAGACTATCTCCTGGGATTTTTCACAGTGGAGTCTTGACTCTTGGGTCACCTGGCTGGAACAATGTCAACCAGAGGTGGGTGGGAGTCATGTTCTCTACCAAGCAGAGAAAACCCATCTTCACTAGAAGGTAAGGCCAACAGAGGGAGGGACAAGCTGAAAGCGGAGATGGACAGAACAAGACAGCAGGTATGTGAACTTGTTTCAGGCTTTGGATGTAGATGCACCAGAAAACAGGTGACTTCATTATACAGGCCAATTAATTCCCTTGGTTTGATTATGTTAGCTTTAACCTGGTCTCTATTATTTAAAAAGAATTCCAATACCTATACTATACTCAGGTTTATAGTTTATAGAGTCAGAAGGATCTTTAGAGAAAAGCTAGTCTTATCCCCTTATTATCTATCTATCTATCTATCTATCTGTCTATCTAGAGTCTACCACAGATACAAAATCAGCAAGTGAGTAACAGAGTCAGGATATGATCCCAGGTGTCTTGAAGTCCTGGCCACACCTGACTGGCCCTGCTGGCAGGAGCTTGGCCTGCACTACAACTCCCCATCTCCACATTCACAGGGAAGTCACTGAACTCTGCAGACAGGCAAAAAACGTCCATGGGAAAAGCCCAAGAACATAGCTGAGAAAAACACATGGCCCCTGGGACACTTGCACCCTGCAGGCCTAGGCTGCTCCCTAGAGGCTGCCCCTGTGTCTGCATCTAGGCCACAGCCAGCCTCCCTCCTCACAGCTTCCTTCTAAGAGTGAGGGCCCAGTCACACCTTCAGGAACCTTCTGAGCTTTGGCACCTCAGGCCTTGCCTACTTTCCCTTCCCAACACCTTCTCCTTGCTCTCTGCAGCCCCTGTGGACTGACTCCCCGAGCACACCACGGCATCACACATTACATGTCACTGCTATAGGTTACAGAAGGCTTTGGCGATCACCAGGGTCATTTCACAGTTGATGAGGCTGAGGCGCAACTAGCAAGAAATGTAGCTTGAATAAACATTTTTGGGCACTGTGCCCACAGCATTAAACTGGGTACTGGGGACATAGACAAAAAGGTATGGTTAAGTGACAAAGTTCTGTACCACTATGAGAAGTAACATAAGGCCATAAAAGCAGATTCGCGGCCACAGTGGAGGCATGGTCAGTTGGAGACTTGCTCAGCCCTGCTGATGTCCATATGAAGGGCATCCCTGCCACACTGGTGGGAGGGGCTAGGAAGGAGGCAGCCCTGGAGCTGCCAGCTGGAGTGGAACAGGCATGAGGGACAGGGCCAGAGTCATGGGAGCAGAGGCTGGGAGGCTCCTGTGAGGGAAGCGTGGTCTCAGGCACATTGGGTAGACTGAGGTAGACCATCCTTGGGATGGCAAGTCCCAGGCTAGGAAGCTGGGCCAATTCCATGGGCAACAGGAGGCACCGCTGAAAGGCTGTGAGCAAGGGGAAGCCAAGGGCGGAAGTGCCTTAGGGAAGGGTGACTGGGCAGGACAACAAGGAATGGGCTTTTAGCCTCATTCCTTCTGTGCAGAGCCAGTCACACTGCTGGGTGCCAGGAGGTGCCCTGGGCCAGAAGCCTCCTCAGCGTGCCTCCCTGGGGCTCAGCCCCGAGCAAACGCTATTTCCGAAGGGACCTGGCAGAGGCCAGGGTCCATGTCATGTGTCAGCAGGTCCCCCAGGAATGACAATCCACTCTTGGAGGGGAAGCAAGCATAAGCCAAGGCAGCAGGGCCACCCTATCCCTGGGGAGTCAGCAGGGGAGGGGATTGAAGCAAGATTCAGGCCAGGTGACCTTTCCATGGCCTTTTAGGCCAAGGGTCTGATTCTACAGTACCATTACTAAGTACCAGGCAAGGTTACAGAGGAAAGCTTCACCCTCAGTCAGTCCCAAGTGTGCAGGACAGGGTGCCTGCCCCTCCCACCCTGCTCTGGCAGACAACATACACAGGAGCTGGAAGCCGGCCTTGGGCAGTGGAGTCTGGCCACTCCCAGGTCTGCCTCCTCTGGAGTAGGTGCCTGTCAGAACCTTGACTGCCAACACCGAGTGGGGCAACTCCAGATCCCAGCTCAGACTCCTCCAGGCCAACAGACTTGCTCTTAAGGTTTCATTTTGGTTCCTCCCATGTAATTCTGTTAAGCCTCAAACCTAACAATCCCAAAGTCCCCAAGAGCACACCTGCAGTAGCATACTCCCAACATGCTGTAGCTCTCAGGGTCACCGCACAAGCTGTGATGGTCGGGCTCAGGACCTCCCTCATTCCTGGCCCACCTTTGTTTCCTGTGACAGGACTGTGCTGGGGGTGGGGGTCAGAGTGACCTCTGGAGTGGGCCAGGCTGAATTCTCACAAATGTTCCACCTTTCAGGTGCTCAACATTTAATTCTCTGTAAGCCAGTCAGAAAACACAGGCCAACTCTCCTGTCTGCAAATTCTCAACAAATCCTGGCTGAGCTCCTTCCATTGGGTGGCTTTTCAATTTTGAGTAAAATCCATATTGCCTGAAATCTCATTCCAGAGAGTCTCAGATTTGATCTGATCTCAAGTCTCGCTCTTGTGATGGTGGCACTGCATTATTCTTTCCTAGCACTAACAGTGAAAAGCACCACACCCACTCGGCAGGCCTTTTAAGGTGCCGAAGGCCAGAGGCAAAGGACCGCTGTTACCGCCACTGACCTGATTAACCATCTGGTGCTGCTGGACAGTTCTCTTCTCCTTAAATTCTTCTGATTCGATTTTAATTTCATACATCGCCCCGCAGCCTCCTAAAATAAACATGAGTCAAAAGTGCTTCAATTATTAAGTATGGCAGCTACAGCCCCATGTGTCCTTGAAGTACTGTATAATCCAAAGAAGGCCTGAATAGCCAGGCACAGTGGTGCACGCCTGTAGTCCCAGCACTCAGGAAGCTGAGGCAGGAAGACCACAGTGAGTTCAAGGCCAGCCTGGACTACATAGCAAGATCCTGTCTGAAAAAACAAACAAACAAAAAAAACCCCAAAAGCCTGAATATTATCATTCAACATAAAGGAGAGCCACTAAGATGTGTAAACACAGACCATGGCTCCATCTGACCACACACCCTCCTGACAGGCTGTCTCCACCCAAATGTGTTCTTCCTTTTGTAAAGCCACTGTGCTACCCTAGCTTATTACCTGTGGACAGGAAAGCTAAGGCACAAAGCAAGGAAAATGTAGGGAATGTGGCCAACAAATACCATGGAAGAAGGTGGGTGGGAAGGACTGAATTTCAGTGTTGCACCTTTCAAAAGACCTGAAATCAGTTTTTTGTTTTTTGTTTTGTTTTGTTTTGCGGTACCAGGGATTGAACTCAGGACCCTGTGCTTGCAAGGCAGGCGCAGTGCCACTGAGCTAAATCCCCGGACCTGAAATCAGTATTTTTAAAAGTACAAAAACATACTAACATTTGGTTTGGAAATTGTGTTTGTAAACTCATCCAAAAGAAAAGACAGGAACAAAGAAGCACAAGAGAGCAAGGGACACAGCAAATATGCTGGGCTGGGAGGTGCACCGGGCTGTGACTGGTACTTGCTGGTGGGGATGGAGCTTAAGATGAGGCCCCTAAGGTGGGCCCTTGCAGCCCAGCCCAAATGCAGAGCTACTAAGGATGACACTTGTGCTGTGCTGGCACTGAACAGGGGCAGGGCAGGGCTGTGTTGAAAGCACCAGGCTACCACATGAGAAGTGCAACCTATTCAACGGCCTTTATTTTTATTTTATTTTATTTCGAGACAGGGTATCACTATGTGGTTGTGGCTAAACTTGAACTCACTAAGTAACCCTGGTTGGCCTTCAATTCATGGTGATCCTCCTGCCTCAGCCTCCTGACTACTGGGATTACAGGTTGCACTCCTCTTAGTTATTTTTCTCTCACTGCTGAGACAAAATACCTGAATCCCAAAGTTAAAAGAGGAAAGCTTTATTTAGCTCACAGTTTGTAGAGGTTTTAATTCATAATGGGCTGGCTCTAAGGCAGGGAGGCACATGGCAGAGGGGCAACAGATAGCTCATGGCAGCAGAAGACAGCAAAAGTAAGCGAGGGACCTTAACAGCAATCTTTCTGCCCTTTTAACCTATCCAGACTACTTAGGGCAAGTAGCACTCACATCCTTAATCCTAGTGTCCTTGATCCTAGCATTGCACCATGAATCCATTTCAGCATCACACACTTTAGATCCAGCCACCTTTGCAAAGTCTCACCCATGACAGCATGAGGCTTTACATCTAGAACGCAGGCCATAACCACCCCCACGTCCAGCTCATTTTTCTTCCTTTACAGTGTGCTCTAGGAGTCCACATTTTGGTTGCTTACAGCTTCCTGACCTCAATAATGGAAGATAGAGAAGAAAAACCCACTCAAACTCCTACTATACACTCACAACACAGACACTTCATGACCTCATGTGGTGGGGGATCTCTCCACACCAGCAAGTAAGCAGTCCTGCAGCAGTGGATGCCAGGTATCTGCTAACCCAATTCAGTTCTGACACTCTCTACCTGGGTGCAGGTGCCAGGCACAAGCCCTGGGTTGTTTTACTTGTATTTCTGACCAGCCACTATCAACTGGGGTTCCAAAACCCCCTCCTTGAGTTTGACTGATTTGCTTCAGCAGCTCACAGAACCTGGGTAAACACATTGCTCTATGGTAAAGGACCTCACAAAGGTTTTAAGTGAAGAGACACAGAAGGCGAGGTATGGTAAAAGGGGTGCAGAGCTCCACTGCTCTCTGTAGGCTGTTACCCCAGAACCTCCCTGTGCTCATTATGCAAAAACTCCCTATATCTTGTCCTTTTGGGCTTTTATGGGAGCCAGGGAAACTCAGCTGGAACCATCAGGTCAGATTCTTCATGACCTCTCTGTGCAGCATTCCTTCCTTGAGGGCCTGGGGACAAGGCCCAGCGTAGGGCACCTAAGGTTATCAGCCTGGCCCTGCTCAGACAAGGACCTTATGAAATAGGGATCTTTTGATCAGAGAAACTCTTCATGGCCAGCCCCAAGACAGAAAGAGGTGGGAAAATTAGAGTTTCTAGGACCCACCCACCTTGGGGAAGAAAAATTATTTCTCTGGCCTGCCTCAGAGAGGGAGTTATAGGCCAGGAACTGTGGTGGTACACACTTGCAATCCCAGTGCTTTAGGAGGCTCAAACAGAAGTATTGCAAGTACCTAAGCAACTTAGCAAAACTGTCTCAAAGTGGAGAGTGTAGCTCAGCGCAAAGTCCCAGATTTAATACCCAGTGCCACCATACCACCAAAAGAAAAGAAAATAAAAAAAAAAAA